ATTATGAAGAGGACATCATTATTTGATGGTTATGTGTGGGGAAATTTTCCTCTGTTGACAAATAGCTTATCGGGAGATGGGTATTAGTATGATCTGATGAAGATGTGCATGTGACTGATGGTAAATACTTTGACAGAAGTTGAGTACTTGTCTGAGGGATTGAGGAGGGCCTCATACCTAGGTGAGTCTTAGGTATAAATTTAGCAAGGGTAGTGGATAATGATCATACATTGCCATGTTTGTTGAAGTTTGCTCCAGATATATATTAAAGGGAATATCCTCTGTAGGTGCAGAAAAATGGCATCTAACACCTCAAAGCCAGACAGGAGGTATGTTCATTGTGCTTATAAGATGACGATTTCTTGAGGTGTGTAATATGTAGGTTCCTGCATGTGTGTGTGATCTGGTCTTGAAGGTTGATCAACTACTGATGGTTGATTCTCTTGTGTCCCTTACAAGAGTTATATGTGGATTTCCATGGGTATTGTCTCCAAAGCCATGGTAAATGGTTAAATCCACGTGTTTTAGGCTGATGCCTGAACTGATGTTGGAACATTATTTCAGTCCTTTGTTTCTTCAGCCAAGGAAGTTTTTTTGGAGCTCATGGTAGAGTGTAAAGTCAACTCTTTAACCTAGTTTGGAATGGTGTGAATGGTTGTCTTGGCTATTTGTCATGAAGAAGAATCTGATGGTTCCAAATGTGTGCAGAAGAAGGATGTCAGATCAAATATTATTCCATTTCTGAAGAGGACATCATTATCTAATGGTTATATGCGAGGAAATTTTCCTCTATTGACAAATACCTTGTCGGGAGCTGGATATTAGTATGATATGATAAAGATGTGCATGTGACTGATGGTAAATACTTTGACGAGAGCTGAGTATTTGTCTTATATGTGTTTGCAGATCTGCAATCTGAACTCCTTGCTTTAAAGAGTATGTGAGAATTTATTTCTCTCCATGGTATTCAAGTGGTTATGTTAACTTGAATGGTCTGCACTTGCAGTTTTTTATTGTGAGCTTCTTGAAGGATGTTTATGCATAATGAGTCCTCTGGATGGTGATTTAAGAACCAAATTGATTAAGTTCATGAGAAGTTGATGTCTTAAATGATGTTGGAACATATTTTTTATGGTGTCTTTAGAAGATGCTTGGGTTATGGATGTGGAATATGGTGTCCATCATTATGTTAGAAGAGGCATTTCTAATCGGGTGAGTTCGGATGTGAAGATTCTGATCTTGTTTGTAGTAGTATGTTCTGGCAATGCACGACTACTATCAGTTTGAAGACTCCACTAGTATCAGCAACTGCTAGTGGACATAAGGGCAGAGGAATTGGGTCAGATGATGAGATCTTACCATAAAGTTTTGAAGAGGTGTTTTCTTCTGCCGCAAGTAACTCTAGGAGTTATTGGATTAGTCTGGCTCTCAGTAAAGCTTTTAAGAAAACTGAGATTTCTCTTGAAGTAGAGTGCATGATATCTTGGCCCCTATAAGAGTCATGACATTTTGTGTGGATCTGTAAAGACAGTGCTCAGATGTGTCCTTATTAGAGTGAAGAAGTCAAAAGGCCTAGATATACTCTAAAGGATCTAGAGTATCTGGTTCAGGATTGAAGTTCCAGTATGTGAATGTGTTTAGCAGGTGTTTGGTGTTGTTCTTCACTATAATGATGTGAGATCATTCATAAGATTTCATCTGGTGCTTAAATTCTCTTTTTCAACAAGAACATTGTTTATCCATGATAGAGGGAGTCAAGTGATTGTCTAAGGATTGTTGCTGCAATAGTGCAGCTATTTTGAAGTTTGTGTGTGTTCCAAGCTTATGGAGATTTTGTACCTCTTATGAGGATGTAATGTCAGACAACATGCTATGACATTTTGCTACTATAAGTAGTTATTTGGTGCTCTTGACAAAGCATGGTTGGCTCTAGCCATGTGAAGTTGGGTGATTGAATCAAGAGTAAACATGTCCCTCTAGAGGATTTGTGTCTGAGAGAATTTATTTTTCTCTACAGATTTTTGAAGGACTCTATGAAGGGTTTTGTTTGATGGGAAGTGCCATATTTTTTATGTCTTGCAACAGTTCTGGCTGAAAGGAGTTTGTAGTAAGCATCCTCATTGGATGTGATGATGGACATAGTGAAGATTTTGGAAAAGTAATGGTGGTATAGGAACTAGAATTGGCTATGGTGCATTTCTTTTTCAAGTTCTAAGACAAGTTTTCTTAACGACTATCAAGTTGATGGTGATGTTGCTCCTGTTTGAGTGTGATTTTTAGTTTTTGGTGGTGTAAGAGTTAAATGCTCAGGATTTGTTTAGCACTTGTGTGCACTATGTTCTACTAAACTCTATGTGCTATTGTGGTTTTCATTGGTTAGCTTCTTACCTTTGTCATATTATGGATAAAAAGGAGGAGAAATGTGTGTGTGTGTGTGTGTGTGTGTGTGTGTGTGTGTGTGTGTGTGTGCGCGCGCGCACTAACCATTGATTGACTGATTGTTGGCTGCTACTAAGGGGCATAATTTCTGATTCTCTGAAGTGCTTAGAAGGTGTTGAGGGGGAGTCCCTGTTATTTTGGACTGAAGGGCTCTGAAGAGATATCGGACATGATGTCTTGACATCATGGTGTTGACAATTTAGTTTCTCTATTTGTTGCAGCTTTGTTTAGTAGACTGGATAACTACTAAATGTTTCTCTTTTTTTTTTGCTGCTCATAACTCTATTATGTTATGTTTTTGCTGCTGTGCCTCTGATATGTGTGTTTGATTTATTTTCAAACATGATTATGGTGTTTTCTTGTACAAGGGTTATTTGGTTATTTTAGCCAAAATTTGCCAAAGGGGAATATTGTTATTTCTCTGAAATTATGATTGACATGAATTTAAGTAAAACTAACTTTGCAGCAACATGTTGAACAACATGTTTCAACTTGCTGATTGAACATGTCAAATGTGATCTCCTAATCAAAAGTATAGGACATCTGGTCTGTTATAGTTTTACAGTTTGGAAGATGTTTCAACTTGCTATTTGAACATGTCAAATGGGATGTCCTAACCAGAAGTATAAGACATCATGTCTTCTATAGCTGACAGTTTGGATTCAGTTGTTGTGATTTAATTAATGAATATTCTGGGAATATTTAATAATCCTATATGGCGCCTAAGATTGATAAATCAGAGTTTTTATGTTGGTATTCAAGATATTTAAAATTTCTAAATATGAAGACACTTTAGGAAGTTTTGATTGAAGACCTATTTTCTTCGGAGAAGTTTTTGCAGACTTTGTGCAGTCTCTTTGCTGTGTTTTTTAGGCCCAAATCTAGTAGTGAAAAAGGTTATAAATAGAAGTGTTTGTAACCTAAAAAGGTATCAGCCATGAATGTAAAAGATGTATTCATTAGGGCTGAGCCTGTACCACTCTCTAGGAGAGTTGGTTGTGTGTTCCACTCGACATGTGAGTTGAACTGGTGTTACAAAGTTGTTATCTCTGTTATTGTTCTCCTCGAAGCTGTGAAGCAAGAGTGAGTATTGTTCTTCGAGGAAGCTTGTAAGCAAATCTAAGTATCTTTCTTAGTTATGAGTCTTGACTAGGTATTATCATGGAAGTGAGTCTTCTAGTTTGATGTTATAGAAGTTTGTCTTCCTATTTGTCCAATTGCTATCGGTGATTGATGAGGTATTGAGGAGGGCTTTATACCTAGGTGAATCTTAGGTAGAAAGTTATCACAGGTAGTGATTAAGTGAGAAGTTTTAAAAGGGGGAGTTTAACTTTGAATTGATACTATTATAGTAGACTTTATCTCTGGCTTTATCCCTGAAGTCTGATATATCATAATTTCAATCTAGATGATTGACTACCAGATGAACACTTCATATTTCAACTTTGTTTTAAAATACATTTATGTTCAAAGCCCAGAGTTTACTTTGTCCAGAGTCTAGAGTCTACATTGTTCAGAGTCCATAATCTGCTTTGTTTAGAGTCCAAAGCCTGCTTTGTTATCTTAAGATTATGCACACTTAATGAAACAATTAGTGTAAAAAATTATTCTCTATACTTTATTATCATCAAAATTTAAGGACTGTAGATGTAGAACCAAACTTGTTCCAACAATAAATTCATAGATTTTTCTAAAATTTATGAAATTGCATCAAATATTTGAAAAAATTAGTATAAAAAATACCATACACTCATATATTTTGGGCTTAATTGTAATTTTGATCCCCCTATTATCTTTTTTTTTTGTTTTGGTCCCCCTATTTTAAAATTTAGAAGTTTAGTCCTTTTATTTTAGTTTTTTGAAGATTTTAGGCACCCAACAAATCTAAAGTAATTTTTAATGACATGTTCAACATAAATCTTAAATAACAATAATTTTTTTATAAACAGTTTACTGCTAAGCTGACACTGACACGTCATCAATATTAGCGTCGTGTCATTAAAAATTGCCTTCAAATTTACGGGGATTAAAATTCTCAAGAAACTAAAATAAAGGGACTAAAATTCTGAATTTTAAAATGGAAAGACCAAAATAAAATAAAATAAAATAAAATAAATAAAAAAACCAAATTTGCAATTAAGTCTACATTTTATATGGGATATTAAAAAATTTGATATAAAATCATAATTTTTTCGGAAAATTATGATTTAAAATTGAATATTAGAAAAACCAATATAAAATTATAGATTTTCCAAAGTTTATATTTTTATAGGACTTTTTAAAAATCCAACATACTATTTCTTTTTTAAAAGCAAAAAATGTAATCCTTTATTTTTTATTTGAAGGATAAAATAGTCATTTTAGAAGAAAAAAAATAAGGGATGACATAAGAAACAAGTGAAATTCCTTCTCCTTCCGATCTTACAACTTGACTGTCATTTGTTGTGTTGGGCTTACTACTATATATATAGACGCAAAGCATCTCAAATAGTCATTTATCTCTTTAATACTCCTCTTCTCTCTTCCTCTATACCTTTTGCGTTTTTGTTTCAGTCTTCAATATGAGCAGTTCAAGAAGTGATCCCTTGTTTGCTCATGCAATGGCGTTTGTAACAAAAGCAAAATCTAGGGTTACCACAGAAAAGTATAATCAGTTTTTACGACTCCTATATAATTACCACCATGCAAGAAGAATTGATATAGGAGTTTTCAAACAAGGAGTTTTTGAGTTGTTTAAGGAGCATAAAGATTTAATTTCAAGATTCAACATGTTTTTGCCTCATGGACACAAATTTGAACAACTAGGTGATGGCGATGCATTAGCAGTCAAAGAAGATCAGAAAGATGATGAAGGAAAACAAGTTTGATTACAATCATGTGGGTAGAAAACCCTAGGTTGATCTGTAAAGTAACAGATTCTTTGGTCATTTAGATGTTTTCTTGAATTGTTTTGTCAAATAAATTCTTCGGCATAGTGATATTTATGCAAAATGTGAATTCTTTCAACTAGTACATTGAATAATATCACTATATTTTCACAGCACAACTCATTTTTTATACAAGAAAGTTGGTTATCTTGAAACCTTCAATCTCTGTCTTACATAATACAATCCCATTTTTGCTATAAGAACTACGATCAGAATCACATTCAAATATTTGTTAAAAAGTTTATATGATTGGTACAATTTTTTTAATACTCTTAATCACAATGGATCTTATTGCCATATTCTTAAAAGAAAGTGTGCAAAACTAAATATAACATTTAGCACTTTCGTGCTAATTATATATATGCCTTTTGCTGACAAAACTAAAGGGATGTGCTATTATGTATTTTTTTTATTTTATTTCTTACCACCGATATAATTTGGTTTAGGGTCACTTCTGATATTAAGTGGTTCTAAATGACATCAAGCTGCTATTATGTATCTTACACAAAAAGGATATTCACAATTATGCAAACAACTATGCAATTGTTGCATATTACACATAAAAGGGAAATTCGCATAAGTTATAAATAAATCCTCCTCATACTATTAGTATTGACTTTTAGAATAGTTAAGATTAGCTTCTTTTTTTTTTTTTGGGTTTGTGTTATTACCTCAAACTTGGGACAAATTCATGCAGTAGTAAAACTAATTAGAAGTCCAAACTCATAGGATTAAAAAGTAACACTTCTGATTGAAAAAATATCCAATGCCCAGCACGACATGGATACTTGTAATTTTTCTTCTTCTTTTCTTTTGCTTGCTTTCGAAGTATTATCGTTGATATGAAAAGAAGAAGCGCTTCCAATGCGGTGGTATACAAACCTCAAATGTAGAGGTTTATTTGCAATATTAGCACCCCAAACAACTCAATTAGGTCTAGGGCATGTAACTTCCAAGATTGAAATTTAATGAATTCATATTATGACGCATGGCGGGATTTATACATGGTAAGTGGCTAAAACTGATCTCATTTAATCCTCCGCAAGTTGCAGCATGCTTCCTGATTGGGTCACCTGGTTGTTGATGGGTCGGTAGCTCAAATTTGTTGTGCGCTCTTTTGGCGAAGGTTTCACGGTGTAAGCTCTCCACGCTGCCCTAGGTCCCTAGGATATGGAGTGTCGATATGGTATCAAGGTTAGTTTTGAGTCGTTGATTTTTCCTCTTGGTATTCTCTTCCCACTCTTAGTCGTAGATCTGCATTTCGCTTGCCTTATTGAGAGGGCTCTTACCATAATTTTTTCTTTTGATTCATTTTCAAAACACCATGCATTCCTTTCTTTCCTGGTTCTCTCCTCTCAAACTTAGGCAACACTCCTTGTGATAAGTTACTAGTTTTTCTTCTCTTTTCACCCTCACATTCGAGCAATATTTCTGGTGATTCAACTTTGCAGTTTTTCTTTAGGTAATATCTTCCTCCTTTCACTGTTATTTTTGTCCCCGTTTATTTCTTAGTTATTACCAACATATGAAATTCAAATATAACGTTTGTGGACTTATTTAGCGGGGACAATAAAACTGACGCTTCTTCATGCACTAGGGTGGTCGATGTAATTATGTGATACTAGACGTGGTCCCTTTAATAGTGAGGCATTCTCACGTAAATTTCATAGAGATTAGTGATAGTTCTAAGTCTAATGGAAGCTTTGAAAGTGAAAAATTATGGGTCTGGGGTCCTCAGGATGAGGAGAACCTTGAGGTGCCTATAGAGGAAGATATGAGAGCAACCTGTTTTGGTTTGATATCAGGGAGTTGGGTCATGGTTCGCTTTTCCTGATATACCCGTGGTAAATCCAAAGAGGGTGGCAGAACATCGGGATGATTAGAGGGACCATACTTTCATTAAAGCTTTTAGAAATTGGAATGGTCGCAAACCTAATGATGATGAGGTTAGGTAATATCTCGATTCCCGTGCAAGTTCCGAATCTCACAATCATGATTTTTTAATTGTTGATAATGATAATGAGATGTTTGGGAAATCGAGCTTTCTATTGAGATTTTTTTTTTTAAATAATTACTTTTTTTTAAAAAAATTTCTCAAATAATCACATTTTCAAAAAATTTATCAAAATGATCACTTTTTAAATAAAAAAATTCATTACACAGAGGAGGCGTCACTCTCTGTGTGACACATGCATTCAAATTAAAGAGGAAGCGTCACACTGCATGACTTATCCTCCTCTGTAAAGCCATGCAGTATGACGCATGCATGTGTTTTTGAGAGGAGGCGCCACCCTCTTCGGTTTGACAGTGTAATTGCAAAAAAAAATTTAAATAAAATAAAAAAACTAAAAATATTTTATATTAATATTTAATATTATACAACGCATGGATATATTTTTTATGGACGTCCCTTCAATCTAAGCGGGTCCCTGTATGACATAAACGACCGCGCCTTTGCCTCGCCCCTTGTCTCACTCCTCTTTGTTGATTTTTCTGAGGTGTTTGCGGTCTGTTCTGACTTGCTTGATTATGAGGTGCTTGATGTGATGGTCCTGGTATATCACGATCATACATCTTATCGATCATTTCGCCCAGTGCTTTCAAAGATATCGGTACCCATATTGTTGAAGTTTGATCTTGTTGGTTGGGATATGTGTGGGTGGTGGGGTGGTTGATAGTATTGGGATGTTGAATCATGATGAAAACGAAGCAACGGTTCTTGTGGTGTCTGAAATTCGTATGATGGTTGGGTACTTCGACGGTATGATGTTTGACCGTATGAAGGTTGAGTGATATGGTAGGAAGGAGATGTATCATATGTGTCTTGGGTGTTGTGGTAGGATGAGGATGGTGCATATTGTTGGTGGTGGATCGGGTCATGCTCTTGGTATTGTGTTTGTGTGTGTGGCATGAATTGATGACGAGTTTGGTTGAGTGAGGTGGTGTATGGTTGTTGGGTTTGAGTGGGTTGACATTGTGGTTGGGTTTGGTATTGTTGAGGGGTTGGTTGTTGGGTCTGGTATTGTTGAGGGGATGGTTGTTGGGGTTGTTGTTGGGCGTATGTTGCAGCTCTTTGGCGTGGGTCAATCAAATAAGTCTCTTGAGACAGAAACAAATTTGTTGAAACCGATGTGTACCATCTCAAATATTGGAGCGTCGGTTTTAAGTCATCTTGCAAGATCGGCTCCCGTAGCACCAATTCACGTATATGCTTCCATTGACGACATTGATTTTTAGCAAAGTCTCTCAAATCGTTAAATCCCCACTGGTCGTCAACTCGGAGTAGATGCCATTGGCCCAAACATGTTGGGGGGGTCAGGGTGTTGCATGCCGAACTGTAGCTTCACACGATCACTGTGGTGCATCTCTACAGTAGTGAACCTGATGAGTGCTATTTTTGCAGTCCAGACTTCAGCATCAGGAGGGTTAATCTCATGGTCGAGATCCTTATACGGCCTCCATACAAACTGTAGAGTAAAAAAGTTAAATAAAATATTAAACTTAATTAAAATATTCAATGTGTTGTATAAAATATATAAGTTTAATACCTCTTCGGGTCCAACATGGTCAATAAGATTTCGATAGACTACTATTGCGTTTTTAGGGGATTTGTTGTAATTCATCCCAGGAACAGACCACCTACATAGAAAAAATGGGTAATAAATTAATACACTACATGTCTCGGTATATAATATGTAAAATTTATGGTTTTGTAATCTTACTTTGTAGCAAAGGGGAAGATGAATGGCCTTGTGTTGCTGGGGTCGAGTGTTAGCATTCTCGACCAGCACCATATCTGGAGCAAAAAGGCGCAAGAATAGAAAGAACATCTACCGTTTGATGCATTCTTACACAAGGAGCTATACAGATGGTCCAAAACAGCTGAACCCCAACTATATGTGTTTATTTTATCAAATTGTCTTAACAAGGGTAAATACATGTATTACCCGTTATTTCAGGAAATAAAAAATGGCCAAATAATATCATTAGGTAACACCGAGCTTTCACAAGAGTTTTCGGTTATTACGAGACTACTATGATATTCTCTAAGAAGACAGAGATTAATACCTTGGCCTCTTGATCCTTGTTCAAATAAAGAGACTCCCAAAAGTTCCTCGCATATGGTGTTGTCTTGGTTGACTCGGCCGTTGACAGCCTTACCGTCGATCGGTAGACCGAATAACATGTACACGTCCTCTAGTGTGACTGTACATTCACCACATGGAAGATGAAAGGTGTGAGTTTCGGATCTCCATCTCTCCACTAATACGAGAATAATTTTATAGTCAACATGGTAATTGACTATGTTGAGTAACGGACAAAAACCGGCATGTCGTAAGTACGGTTCAATTTGAACGTCATAAGGGACATACTCATGGACATGACAATGAAATCTTTTAACATCCTATTAAAAACATGAATTACGTATAAGAAATACAAGATTTAGGTATAACAATCATAAGAATTAAGGAACAAAAAATTGCCGGCAAAAAATAGGTATTGAAAAAATACACTTACAAAGGTTTCAATGTTGTTTGGAGTTCCTCTATGTTGATCACCCATGGTCAAGAGAGACATTTTTTCTTGATTACTCTTGTGTTATTGTTGAGACTTCAAGAAAGAAATAATGTATGAGTTATGATTGTGATAAAAATATAGGGTGAATGTTACATGTATTTATAGGAAAATCTCGAAGAATACTTTGCATGCAACTTATACACATAGGTGCCACACTAGGTGGCGCATGCTCTTCTTTCTTGCACATAGGCGCCACACTAGGTGGCGCATGCTCTCTTTATTGTACATAGGCGCCATTCAACATGGCTTATTGCTTTTTGCATGCATGCAAACCTGCAGCGTGGCAGGGATCAGATGGCATGCATGCAAGTTTTGTTGTTCAATGACAAGCCACACTAGGTGGCGCATGCATGTAAAAAAAA